TGCTTTGCGAAGTGGAATGATGAGCTTACGTCTTACCGGACTGCCGTCCGCTTACAGATCCTTTCAGCCAGTCTGCAAAAATAACACAGAGGGTGTTTATTTCTAACATTGGTTTGGGGGTTGAGCCGATAAGATTGACATGATCTAACACAAAACCTAATTTCCGTCCGGATTTTGGCAACGTCGCGTTCCCGAAGTTAAAATAAAAACTTGAGAAAAATGTTTCGTGGATTTCATCTTTTTTACTGGGGACGAATGACTTGCTATTTCAAAGCGATGTAAAGCTGCATTTTTATGAAAAGGTTTGGAATAGAGTGTAATTAACGAAAAATAAATCGTATTTGAAGCCCCTGTGGCGAGCAAAAACCCTGTCGTTCATCATTTATCGAGGATGGCCTGGGGCGCAAAAATGGTTTTGTGCACAATGGTATCTCCTGACACGAACGTACGAGAGCCTGTGGACCGTTTTCAACTACGTTGTCACGATGTACCTTCATAGAAAAGGAAATCTGAACTTGTTCGACCTTCTCAACAAACACTTTGATAACGGGAAGGACAGAATAGGTGCAGACTGATGATCGAATGTGTCTCCAGAGTGGCCGTCTTAGAAAATAGCGTAGTCAACAATCTCCCGAGGGATGGCCCGTGGCGGTGCTAGATATGTGTTGAACCAAATATCGTTAGGTGATCGTATTTTGGTCCTTTTTCGTGGCGTTCCTGCGCGTTTATCTGTGAGCTTAGGGTGCTTACTTGCATTTGCATAATGACTAGGTTATAGCGCTATTGCATTTACATAGGTACTAAGTTGTACTTGTGGATCATATTTCCGTAATAACTAGGAAAAATGTTTACCTTTTTGTTAAGAGCAAATTGACGGTCGTTTTGTCTGGAAGTCGTGCTCACGAACGCCAGACATAAAAGGCTCGACAATTATATTGTTCTTGACCTGGAACGCCACATGACCAGTGGAATGGCAGGATTTGAATGACGTAATTATGGCGTCGTGGATGCCTGGGTAACCTTAAAATAGTCCGCACAAAATAACCTGCACATCCTCGTGAACGCGCAGCACAGAAACTAGAGAGCTAAAGGTCTTAAGAAGAGAAGGGCTGTGAACTGCACCGAAAGGTATTTAAGATGGGCACTCAAGTTCAAAACCATATACAAATGTGGGACACTCCCTTTAACATCATTGCGGGAGGGAATGGGACAGCGTCCAAGAGGGTCAGTGGTCTCGAAAACGGTCAATGGCTCAAAAATGTCCGGTTGGCACCTGGAGGAATAAGACCTAGGCCGTAAATCCCATCCACCGGTTTCTCAAACAGTAATCACCCGTAGCCTGTCCGCCATTTTTATCTCTCCGCCACGCGGTTGCCATTCGCCGCAGCTGCGCCACCGAGAGTGCCATAACACACTGACGCCGCCGGGCCGCCTGAGAGCAGCATCTGTCTCTCGCGGGTCGCTGCGTTCGCCAGCCTTGCCACCGTCCGGCCCAATCTTTAGGCACGGGCGGACGCAGGGAAGGTGCATGCGCCCCGGCTCGTGGGAAGGCGCAATCACGAGTTCACGCGGCGCCACCGAAGCTCGTTAAGTGCAAGGCCATGGCCGAATAGTGGTGAACTTGGTGGTCAACGTCGAAAACTCCTCGGAAGTTGCGGCTGGTCTCGCCCCTACCCTGGGACACCGCCTTCACAGCGTTCATCAATACGTGTCATAGACAGACGTCCGCCGCCAGGCTTTCGTGCTATGGGACGGGGGCGGGGACGGTCGACGCACCAGCAACAGCCGCTGGTGGACGGACCATTCTGTATTGCCGCCGCCAGCATGTTCGGGATATGTGGTGGGACGTGAGACAAATTCGCCCCGTTTGGTCGTCATAAATTCAGACGAAGGGAGCAGATGCGGGCGGACGTTGGGTTCGCATAAGCGGCGACATTTGTGGGTGCTGATGGTTACGGGGTCACCGCGTGTGTCGCATCGCTGGCTCCGCGCGCTCACAGTCGCTGTAGACGGCGTTTGTTCCCACCGAACGCTTCGGTCAAGTTGGAGGTTCTTGCACAAGCGTCAGGACTACCATTCGAAGCGGGTTTTTGCATTCAAAGACAATGCAATGCGGAACATGAGTGTGCGGCCGTATCCCGGCTTGTTACTGGCGTACAATGCGGTTGGAAAATCTGTGCTGAAACGGGTGAATAACAACCCAATTTTGACGTTAGCAAAATCCACTTCGATGGTTATTCTTGTCCCATGTTTAATGGCCTCTAGCCTTCTGTCGTATACGTCAAGAAGATTTATCCTACGCCATCTTTTCCAGTAGACCTTAGTTATCCCCCTACGCCATCTTTTCCAGTAGACCTTAGATTGCACTTCTGGTCTCCCGTTCAGTGGCGGCTCTTTACTGGAGTTTGAAAATGAGGCGTCCGACTTATTGCGATGCAAGCTGACTAGGATTTCGGGGCTGGGAACTAGAATATACAAACGTAGTTAACCAATAACGAGTTATTTTGGTATTGGCGCATCAGGATGGAGAAAATGAAAGAAGTTCAGATGATTCTCGTGTATGAAGCCGGACTGCAATTTATTCTCTTTTAACGTTTATCTGTCATCGGAGAAAATGTATTTAACATAATCACCTCAAATCTAAATTAACCATGGGGGATACCAATATGGAGAGGGGGCAGCCGAAGATAGCAATCCAACAGTTCGCCCGTCGTTCGCAATAGAACGACTGAATAACGAAATCAAAGGTGCTGTACGTTTTTCGCGAAGCATTGAAGTGACGTGATTGCCTCGTTCTTCTGATTTCTTTCTGATTTTCGCGACTGCGGGGTCCTTCTCAGAGGCGTAGTTTCGGGCGCCCTGAGGGTCAGTTGTGCCCAGCCTCCAATGTGCACATGGAAGTAGCATGTAGCTCAGGAACATATAGTTTTATGGTCGTGTTAAGGTACTTCACGGCTCGCTGCAGCGGGACGACATCATGCGTTTCAACAGCGGTGCTGATGTGAGAAATGAAGAGCGTGGGCTTCGTCACGCGTCTTAAAGGCTAAAACTAGGAACTTTAGTAAAAGCGCTCAGCTCGCGTAGCAAAACACCGCCGGGCACCTCAATCTTCATTACCGGACACCTCAGTCTTCATCAACGGGCGCTTCAATCCTCATCACTGAGCGTCTCAATACTCATCACAGGGCGCCCCAGTCCTCATCACTGCGCGGCTCAATTCTCATCACAGGGCGCCTCAATCCTCATCACCAGGCGCCTCAATCCCTCAGCAGCAAGCCATGTGGGCCGTATCGCCGGATACTCTGGGAGTGCGTGGGAATCACACCACCACCAAATACATTCCGTTTACCATTCTCACTGAAGTAAACCCTTACCGAACGGCCGTTCCCTAAGGTACACGTCCAACGAAACCTGAAGGTGTTGATCCCAAACCCTATTGTACCCGGTCGCCAAAGCCGTGGCTGCCAGCCCGGCCCGCTGCCATGATGGGAACCTGACCACCACGGACTCTGGCGACAGCCTCAAATCACCGCGGATCATCCTGGAAGAGGCGGAGCAGCAAACACATACCGATGCTGATGGTTTGTGAGCAGGGGTAAACGGGAGGTCCGGGACATGAAAGTCTGATGTGTTATGATAGCGCCCGGGTGGAGACCGCGCCCCGGTCACTGGCCCCAGGCCAAACGGACTGTTTCCTGGCGCGGATGGCCGCGTGCGCTCGGTAGAACCGGGGTCTCGATCCGGCTTGTAGCAACGACCTGCAACAAAACTGTGATCTAGAGGAGAATGCTTAAGTCTACACCGAGGGTAGAGTGTCAATGTCGCAGGTGACGTCGGTGAGAATGCCAAAAGGTGATCGCTTGCCGTGGAAAGGGAGGATACCCTCTGCAATATTACAAATTTGTAACATAAAGTTGCGAAACATGTGATTGGAGAGGGATGCTCTTTCAAATAAGTTCGTGGGGCACATTTTCGACGCTGTATTTATGATGGGACAAACAATCACTCGCTGTAAGCAACGGCAACAATGCGGATCGATAAATTGTGCTCGATATCACGTGACCGGCTTTACACACAGCCCATGCTTTTGCCAACACTACTGTCCGTTTTCTTTCAACTCGTGTTCACCAGCTTTTTGCGATGAAAAAATTGTGTGCTGCTTATGTCGGTCGAAGGGGAGGTAAAACTGCGGTGATATCGCAAAGCCTTGGGGCAACGCGGCCTGATCAAACATGCGTGTGAACATGCGTGTGAATGCGTGAACGTGTGAACATGTGAACATGCGTGTGAATGCCTTGAGAGCGCCACATGATAACCCTTAAGAGTTGGGCAGCTTGTCGTTTGAAACGTCGGAGCCTTACGCCGGCGGTCGCTCAGGTGAAGGCGGGCAATCGCGTGACTGACCGGGTCGTTCGTTGAAGCAGCAACATTTCTGGCAAGCTGACGCTAAGGCACGCTCAGCCTGCTCCACCCCCGCAATAAGTCATCAGCCGCAGCCATTCTGGCCTGCCGTGTCCAAGCGACCACATTTTCTGGGTGCGGCATTGGTAACCCAATGATAAATATACAGGAGATCGATCTGAATAACGAGGCCCGCCGTTCGTTGCCGCCCGCGCATCCTGGCCAGGGAGCCTAGCAGGGCTCGGGGTGCGCGGCCGGGTCGGCCCGGGATCATCTGCCGCAGCGCGGGCCACCCCGATGGAGGTCATGCGATCTGACGGCAGAATGAGTTAGTGCCGATTGGCCGGCAGCGGCCTCATCTCTATGACTGTCGTGATGGACCCGTCGGCTTGGCATCAAGGCCATCTTGGAAGACTTGTCGCCAAGGCGCAGTCGGCGCCACTTCGGAACGAAAATCGACGCCGGAATGAATGAACTCGCGGAGACCGTTTCCAGGAGAATGTGGCCGAAAAAGACCTGTGTCTCGCATTACTCTGTGCAGCCGTGCGCCCGGGCAGCTATACGCGGCGGCCGCTACGAGTGAGGCGCCTCTTCACAGGATGGAGCTGACGCTGTGGCTGCTGGCTGGTGCGACGCTAGGGGCGTGCGGCTCGACCTGGGGGCGGGACGAGCTGGCCGACGACAATCAAGACGATCGCACGCCGTTCTGGCAGAGCCAGCCCGTGTTCGGCAATTACTCGGGCGACATTCTGCTAGGAGCGCTGTTCCCCGTCCATCGGATGGGCGCTGACGGCCTCTGCGGCCGCATACAGGTGGGTGAATGGGGGCGGTCAGTAGTGTATTAACCCTCCATCGGATGGGCGCTGACGGCCTCTGCGGCCGCATACAGGTGGGTGATGGGGCGGTCAGTAGTGTATTAACCCTCCATCGGATGGGAGCTGACGGCCTCTGCGTCCGCATACAGGTGGATGATGGGGCGGTCAGTAGTGTATTACCCTCCATCGGATGGGCGCTGACGGCCTCTGCGGCCGCATACAGGTGGGTGATGGGGGCGATCAGCTGCGTCTTAGCCGTGCATCAGCTGTGCTGCTTGAAAGCGTGACCCGTGGGGAAGCCACACGGCTGGTGGCTTGTGAGGCCAACTGATGGGGGCAAAATATAACAGCGGTAACTAGCCGTTGCTTTTAAGGGCTGATTTTTTTAGGGCATGCTGATAGCTTTGTCACCTATGCTGATGATGGGAGAGCTATGGTGATTTAGGTTATTGGTGATGCAGGTAAGGTGAAAATAGATATTGCAGCTTAATACATATTAATGGCCAATTACTGGATGTCTCTCTCTCATCCCCCCTCTCTCTCTCCCTGTCTCTCTCTCTCTCTCCCTCTCTCTCTCTCTCTCGCCTCTCTCTCTCCCTCTCTCTCTCTCTCGCCTCTCTCTCTCCCTGTCTCTCTCGCCTCTCTCTCTCGCCTCTCGCCTCTCTCTCTCTCACTCTCTCTCTCGCCTCTCTGTCATCTCCGCCCAGCAGCGGGTTTTGATCCGCCTATAACCGGTCACTGGACAGCGATGTTCGTTAATAATATGCTCATTAGTTCTCGTTTGCATGCGCTATTGGCACATTCTCAACCTTCCGAATATCCACTTCCCAGTGTTGGCCCTAAATGACCGTACGGCACAACACGTTTGCTTGGTTCTGCCTCGGGTCGCATAGAAATAACCCTCACGGTGGGCGCGACAGCGGATGCGCGTTGAAGAGAATCTTGCGAGGACAAAGAGGGGAGAACGATGCAAAGAGAAGGATGGGGTGAGGGGTGTGGGTGGGTGGATAGCAGCACCTCTCCGTCTTGTCCACTCTGTTCCCTGGCTTCTTGTGGACCCTCACGTTATCGCCGCCTGCGCGTCCTATGGTCTTCCCTTGACTGCTTCCTCGCACCTTCCAGACCCCTCCCGGGACTGCCTGCGTGTCCTATGGTCCCCCGCTGGCTGGTTCCTCCCACCTCCCAGCCCCCTCCTGGGGGCGCCCAGCGCGCAGTAGAATTTCGACTCAGGCATTAAACCATCATAGCGGCATGACGCCACGGACCGGACCTCGTTATTGATGTCGTAGAAGCACCAGCTGTCCTGAACATTCGCCTGCGCTTAACGCCTACTGGACTTATTGCTTCGATCCATTTGATCCCCAGGCAGCGGCGCTCCATCGCGTATTAGGCCAGTCTTGCCAGTCAAAAACATAAAGAAACATGTTGCGATGTTTGGCCAGTTACGTAATGGCCCCGGACACCTTCGGAGGTGGCGTCACCTCGTCAGAGGGCAAAGCCGAGCGTTGCTGTTGACCCAACCATGTTCAGCTTTTTTCTGTCACACGATGAAAGCCACAGCTGCTTTCGTTTTGTAATGGGATCTGAACGTTAGTACTTTGTAAATTGTTACCCACAGTCAAAATGACTGAAACTTCACCTAAAAGGCGCGTTTTAAACGCAGGTCTCTTTCAAACGTTCACGAACTTGTATGTCTAAGAAAGGTTTAAGGAGATTTAGGGCTGATCTAAATTTACGCCTATTGTTGTTTCAGATGAGCATCCGCGAATCAAACAGATCAAGTCATGGCCAACCAGCGGCTGAAACATAGACGATACGACGTGTTGTAATTCAGTGCTTCAGTCGATACCGTTTAGGGGCGCTCGCCAGTTGATACATTTGTGTTCGAGCTCGTGAAACCTTCCAGCGGGCCCAAAAAAGCTAAGAATACAAAAGGCTGCACGGTTTTCACCATCTCTGAACGCTTGAGTCCTATAGGCCTTGTGCCCATGTAAATTGGCCGATTGATGAATGCGACGCAACTGCGTTTTGCATTTTAATAATGCCCCTATAAATATTCCAATTCAATCACGTTCGTGCATGTTAGACCTAATCCTAGTAAGCTACGGAGAGCCTGGATTAAGGGGAGTGTTCCACATTTGTGTGGGATTTTGAACTGAAATAGCCATCTTGGAGATTCTTCGGCGCAGTTTACAGCCCTGCCCTTTTAAAGACCTAACGAATGAAAGGTCCCGAGCTATACGCCCGAAGACATGTGCAGACTATTTCGGAAATACTTTTTCAAAGTCACCCAGGTATCCATGACGCCGTGATGACACCATTCATATCCTACCACTACCTTAGCCATGCGGCGGTCAAGGCCAGGACAAACATAATTCTCAAGTCGTTCATATCTGGCGTTCGTGAGCACGATTTCTAAATCAAACGATCGTTGATAAGCTCTCAATCAGTGTCATGCGTGGTATGATAACGTAATTAAACACTGACGTATTGAGCAGAAATTTACTGACGAGAGAAATTATGTTGTCCAGAGAGGCTTTTCCACTTAAAAATATACCGAAACTGATAAGTGAGCTTGTTTCATCACATCTAATGCTTGCTTCAATATCTTCAAATGTGGAACATTCCCTTTCACACTATGGGGAGAGAGAGAGAGAGAGAGAGAGAGAGAGAGAGAGAGAGAGAGAGAGAGAGAGAGAGAGAGAGAGAGAGAAGAGAGAGAGAGAGAGGGAGGAGAGAGAGAGAGAGAGAGAGAAGAAGAGAGAGAGAGAGAGAGGAGAGATAGAGAGAGAGAGAGAGAGAGAGAGAGAGGAGAGAGAGAAGAGAGAGAGAGAGAGAGAGGAGAGAGAGAAGAAGAGAGAGAGAGAGAGAGAGAGAGAGAGCGAGAGAGAAGAGAGAGAGAGAAGGAGAGAGAGATATATATATATATATATATATAATCAATGTATAACCATATATATACAGCATTAACTCCATAACGCCTTTACGCCGCCAAGATCTACAGAAAAACCTCATTCGATCTAGTACGCAGCTTGATACCAAGACCGATCTGGTGAGGCCTCCCCCACCGACTCCTGGGTTCGACCCTGCTGGCAGAACGAGGACGGCATGCAGCCGTTGGAGGCGATGCTGTTCACGCTGGACACCATCAACCGCAGTCCAGCGCTCCTGCCGGGCATACGCCTGGGCGCCATCGTGTTCGACTCGTGCGACTCGGCTCTGGTGGCGCTCGAGAGGTCAATGGAGTTCGTCAAAGGTCAGACTCCCGCGCCACCCGTGTGTGGGGGTATGAGAGAGGAAAGCCGCGGGTGCAAGGCGGGGATGAGCAGAAGTTCTTGGGAGAATGGCGAGTGCGTGCCACTGGCGAGGGGTTTTGTTTCCCACGAAACGAAGATGGCTGCAGCTGTCAGAGCTCCCTGCTCAGGCTCGCTGTCACCTTGGTGTCAGCCTGAGGCACGGTAAACAAACGAAGAAATGACAGGGTGCACTGAGGGTTGGTGGTGGTGGGCAGTGGCGCAGCCAATATTCCGCCCAGGGAGGGGCCAAATTGGGCTCGGGGGAGGGGAGCTTTCAGCCAAGGAGGTCCTCCTTGTCGCTAGATGGACGTTTTTATTGCGAGGGGCTCTTTAAGCTCATGTTGTATTTTGATGTCTTAATATGCCTTGGGTATTTTAAATGCCTTGCAAACATCATAAACTGCAAAAAAAAATTGGGGGGGGGGGCATGACCCCAACAGACCCCCTTTTGGCTACCTCACTAAAAGTGTGGTGGAAGGTGAGAAAGAGAGAGGCAGTGATGGCTAGCCTGTTGTACTTGGGGCTTCACGACGCGTTCAGCTGCTTAAGTGATGCGGCGTCGTCTGCCTCTCACCCTGGCAGGAAAATTGGGAAGTCGAAAGAGAAATCGAACCTCATGCCTCTGGATTCCCAAATGTGCCGCGTTACCAGTGCGCTGCTGATACGCCTGTTGTAGATGACCAAGTAACTTTTATGGAATATTTATGCCGTGAATGCGCGCACTCGAAGGCCTGACCAGCATTTGAGTGGGCGAAATTACGGGAGTAAATCTTCGAAAAAAACAAGATTGAGTAAAGCATGCAGAATATTAACTCGATATGCCAGTAAACGGAACGCCTATCATTTTAATAACGTGTCATTTACTGCACTAGTTGAGGGCCACATTCGTTTCGCCAGCAATACTATGCCTCCGTTGAAGAAAGGCCATTGCCATTGCTTCATGCAATCATCAGGAAGAGAAAGCTTATTTTCCATCATGAAGCGTTTCATACCTTATACTGCATCTCACTACTTTTTTGAAGTGTCGAGAAAATTGTCGTCATTATCGCGTTTGGTTTCACGCAACGTTTCAGCCCACTATTTCTTCGGACGCCGTGGGGTACTTGTCGTCTTCCCTGATCGGAGCCTCAAAATCATTGATATACATGGCACAGCCATACACCGCGGTTTCGAGAGTTCTTGACAGATCGGAACTTGGAGTCCACAGTCTTGCGATTGGTTGGCAAATACTACATACCACTCATACATACACTACACTAACCACTACATACTACATACGTACAGACATACCACTACACCACCACAAGGAAGCGTGAAATTGCACAGAAGACAACTACCAAACAAGTCTCAGCAAATAACGAACGCACATTTACAAGCTATTCAAGAGAACACTTGTCAGAAAATTTTCATCCGTGCCCACGCGCGATCTTAATTATTTCGTGAGACCAAATGCTAATGCATTACTACCAGGGGATAAAACAGGTGCAGCTCTCTCAAATACGGCTCACCAAAGCTCCCGCTGCATCATACCACACACAGCGCCGATTTAATGCTACGCGACCGACCGCGCGACGACGGCGGCACCAGGGCGCCGACGGGAGGAGCCTCAGTCAGCGGTCACCACACGGACCTCTCGGTCACACCACCACCGGGAGGAGCCTCGGTCAGCGGTCACCGCACGGCCCTCTCGGTCACACCACCACCGGGAGGAGCCTCAGTCAGCGGTCACCGCACGGCCCTCTCAGTCACACCACCACCGGGAGGAGCCTCGGTCAGCGGCCACCGCACGGCCCTCTCAGTCACACCACCACCGGGAGGAGCCTCAGTCAGTGGTCACCGCACGGCCCTCTC